GAGGTCACTGGGATGGACAGACAGAAAAGACAATGAAGACACAGAAATGAGGTCCATGCACTCACCTTCGAGGGACCCACAACATAAAACACTAAGGGGCTAACTCACCGAAGAAGCAACCGAAGAGGGCACAACAGCAGCGCCGTGAGAAGAGCAAATGAGGCCGAACCACGAGCAGTCCTAGCAGCAACAGCCAAAAAATGAGCCCCCAGAAAAGGAGGTTCACAAGCATCCTCAAAATGAGGACGATGAAGTAGTCCATCCACAATGCTGGGCGCCAGATGTTCCCTGTGCCCTACTTTACCTGCCTTTGGGGGTTGGAGGTGAGGTAGGGCTGAGTCAATAACACAGACTTCTTGAACAGGTGAAGAATGCTGCCAGCTCATCTGACCGCTCCTCCTGCGCCTCCATTGGTCCCAAGAAAGCATCTCTTTTAAATAGCAGTTTCTGATTGGCTGGCTTTGTCTGCACCAGCAATCCTTGCCTCTCAGTCTCCTGCAGTAGATACTTTTACAGCTGGAGGGAGGGGGCAGTGTTTACATAGACCCTACCGTTCCTACTAAATTTTTTGAAGATTTATTTTTTTTATGAGTACAGTGTAGCTGTCTTTAGACACACCAGAAGAAGGCATCAAATCTCATTACGGATGGTTGTGAGCCACCATGTGGTTGTTGGGGATTGAACTCGGGACCTCTAGAACAGCAGTCAATGTTCTTAACTGCTGAGCCAACTCTGCAGCCCTAACTTTTTTAACCATTTTCTTACCTTCCACTTGTTTGAGATAGGGTCTCTCTGCTTCTGCTGGCCTGGAGCCTTTGAGGACTCTCTTGTCTCCATCCCCCATTGCCTTAGGAGCGGAGGACACTGAGGTTCTGAGATGACAAATAATCAACTAGGCTTGTCTTTTTTGTGGGTTCTGGGGTTTCAACCTCAGGTCCTTACTCTTACACAGAAAGTACGTTTATTGATGTCGCTTCAGGTCGTCAGACATCCAAGTGTAAGGCACTGGTGAGCTTTTGTGTTTCTTCTCCAGTCTTGGGAAGTTAAACAGCTTAGGTTCAGATTACTGTCCCACCTTCAACTTGAATGGAACAGTATATATCTACCTTTTTATAGATGGGACTATTTGTGCTTCCTTTGATCACATCAGATGTCAGACCCACCGAGGTTAAGTGACTGGCCAGGGACACTGCATGTTGACTGTTACTATAAATGTGACCGAGCAATTTGGAAATGTATCACTATCAAAGGAATTTCACAGAACTGCAACCTTGGCTCTGTCACGGCCACTTTCACTGCTTAGAGATGACCACATTGCTTCCTGTGGAGGCTCTTCCTCTCTCTTATGCTCATACTGCGGCCATCTTTTTCTTCTGGAAATTTATATCATTTCTGAGGATTGAGGCAGTTTTACTAACGAGAGAGTGTTGCTACTCATCTTTTACTGAAGGGGGGGGCAGGGTCTCACCCTGGCAGGCCTTAAATTCACAGAGATTTACCTGCTTGCCTGCTTGCCTCCGCTTATTCAATGTGGGGTTTTGTTTTGTTTTGTTTTGTTTTTCCCGAGACAGGGTTTCTCTGTGTAGCTCTGACTGTCCTGAAACTCACTCTGTAGACCAGGCTGGTCTGGAACTCAGAAATCTGCCTGCCTCTGCCTTCCAAGTGCTGGGATTAAAGGCGTACATGCTGGCCCAACATAGATACATTTTCTTTCATCATGGCCTTCTCTAAAGAGTGTTCACCCTGTTCCTTTGGGACAAACTTTACACTGAGCCTGGAGTTAAGTTGGTGACCAGCGAAGTCCCTGTCTCTGCGCTTCCCAGTGTACTCGTGTTAACTTTGTGTACCATCATGTCCAGTTTTTTACGTGGGCTCTGGGGATTTGAACTCATGTCCTCATGCTTACAAGACAGGTGGTTTTAACCTGCTGAGCCATCTCCCCAGACCCGAATTTTCACTTTCAAAGATCAAATAGGAACTGTAATTACCCATTTAATCCTTTAATGTACTTTTGTTTTATGAGCAAAGTCCCTTATTAGATGATATTATACACAATATGATTGTTACTTCAGATCTAAGTCAGGCAGACTAGAAATAATGTTGGGTTTTTTGGTTGTTTTTTTTTTGATGTTATTTGTTTGCTTTTAATTTTATTTTGTTTTGGTTTGAGACAGGTTCTTACTTTGTAGCTTTGGTTGGCCTAGAACTTGCTATATAGATCAGACTGGCCTCAAATTCATAGAACTCTGTGAGAGTTCTGTCTCCCTAGTGCTGAGACAGATTAATCTTGACTTTTAAAAGGAGTCTTAGCTTGGTAGGTCTGTCACTAAAGCATTTGTGAGACTGAGGCATGATGGTTGCTGTGTATTTAAGACCTGCCTGGGTGGTGGCCTACGTCATTAATCCCTGGCAGAGGCAGGTAGAGATCTCTGTGAGTTCAAGGACAGCTTGGTCTACGTAGTGAGTTTCAGGATAGCTAGGGCTAATGAAAAGACCAGTTTCTGTTACATAGTGAATATCTGGCCGGCCGGCCAGGAAAGACCTTGTCTCACAACCACAACCCTCCTCTGCCAACAATGATTGACACTTGGCTGGGTATGTGTGTAGCTCAGGAGCAGGAGGCTCCCTGTGCAGGCCCCAGGCCCTGGCTGAATCCCCAGCACTGAGCACTGATGAAGCAAAACTGCCTCTGAGCTTAGAGTCAGCAGTTGATCATGGGCAGGTTCTGAGAAGTGAAGGGGTGAGGAAGTGGAGGGCTGTGGAGGCCGTGTGCAGTTCCTAAGATGTGGACGGTTAGAGTTAAAAGAGGGACAGAAGGGCCTTCCTAATTCTGCTACAGAAAAACTGTGCCGCTCGTAGCTGTTGAGAGTCTGCAACAAAAAGTTCCGTCTTCAGCATATGACAGAAGATGAAGTGATTGTGTTCTCTGTTGGTCTGAAGAAGATAGAGTGTGGGAACTGCTAACCTCTGACAGGACTTGGACTAGTACTGCATACCTAGCAGTGTGCCCAGATAAGCTGTCATGCTTCATTGCTCTGTTTCCGGGTTAGATTCTGCTAAAAATAACACTGCATACACTGAACCACAAGTCCAAAAGCAAGTGTCGCTCAGCAAAATTCCAGATCAGAACTCTTAGAAAACTCTGACCCATGGGTTTCTAGAGACGTACTGTTTGCTCTTGAGAAGTTTGTTTGTGGTATACATCTGGTGGTTTTTAAGAAATGTCTGCTGACTTGGAGGAGAGGGGCTGCATTTTTGAGTAGGAAAATGTCTTAAATTGATTTTGAGTAAGTATTTTAGTCAGCACTTTGAACTAATCTTCAGGTAGCTGGTGCCATTACATCCTTGTTGTGGTCGATAGCTTTCCCCATCTTGTGGCTTACTTCATAGATTTATAAAAGCTTTCTGTCCATTATTATTTTGGTATGCATTTTTGTTTCTGATTCTACACAGTACTATACCTGGTAGATTTTTAGTGGAAAAATAATTTGGAGAGCAGAAGATAGATACCAACTTGCTAAGAGTCTTTATGTTCCCTCAGGTTTAGCTTGAAGGTCACCATTTAGAGAGGCCTTTGAGACTTAACCACCTTAACCACCTTTGTTGAACATTTTTAAAAAATAAAATAAAATGAATTTGATAATGCTAGCATGCACTTTTAATCCCAGCATTCTGGAGGCAGAGGAAAGCAGATTTCTAAGGCCAGCCTGGTCTACAAAACAAGTTACAGGACATGCAGAGGGCTACACAGAGAAACCCTGGCTCAAGAATTTTTTGTTTTAAGTTTAATAAAAATGAAAATATCTTTAGAAATGTAAGATTGGATCTTCGTAGGACTAAAGTAGCAAAGAATTTGAATTAGAATAACAACACAATTCAAGGAGAATTGACAACATATTGTCTTCAAACTTGACAAAACAGATATGAGAGTAAGAAAATGGAAGAAGCCAAAATGTTTGAGTTTGTGGGACATAAGAGATGTATGTTGTCATTAAATACAGGGGCATGAAGAAAAAGCAGGTTAGAGAAGGAACAGTAACCCGATGGTTTGTTCAAGTGTTGTTGTTAGTGGTGGAGAAGTAAAGTGAACAGTTAAAAAGCTATCAAACCCCAAATAAGGGATTTATAGGGTGTGTGCGTGCCTGCGTGCATGCGTGCGTGCATGTGTGTGTGTGTACACACGTACGTACGCACGCACGCATATGCACCTGCCCACTGGCAGAGGCTAGAGACACTGGAATTACAGATGGTTGTAAACTGTCAGATGTGGGTGTTGGAGTATGTGCTCCTGACTGCTGAGCCATCTCTTCAGCCCTCTTCAAGATCGTGTTCAAAGTCGTGATGTCACAAAGAAAGAGAGGAGACTGTAGAGAATGAGAACTAGCAGGAAGCAAAGGCTTGGAAGTATCTCAGGGTTTGGATAATTTTTACAAAGTCTGTGGTGAATATTTAGTGAGTATTTGTTAGGTCTGTAGATTTAAGTGGTTATTATTGATAATGCTTTGATCTTGAATGAATTACCTAATATATTTTTTAATCTAAAGAACATTTCTGCAGAGCAGGAAATCCTACATGGATACTGCCTTTTTATTCTGATTGTGTGGTTGTGGCTGTCCAAAGTTTTTATGTTTGCTTGGTGCATCTTCTGTCTCCCTAAAAGTAAATCTGTCCCTGTTTGCTTAAGCGCAGATACTGACTGTGGTGCTTCTTCTTACGTGCTCTGTGACATTTGAATGGAGAGAGATGGAAGACGTTATTTTCATCTTTCATCTGTTGCTAGAGCAGAATAATCCTTGAAGCCCTCCCTGCTCTACATGAAGAGCAGGAGGTACTGTCAAAACATATTCCTCCTGCTCCTGGTTTGGAGTATTTCTGAATATTATTGACCAAAATAAATTTATTTTCATGTTCATGTTAGGTAACTTTGTATGGTAAATTCAGTGCACTAAAGAAATATCAGTAATGTTACATTTTAATTATTGTTCTTTGTTCATTTGTAGGCGAAACCTAACCAAATTATCCCTGATCTTCAGCCACATGCTGGCAGAACTGAAAGGAATCTTTCCCAGTGGACTCTTCCAAGGAGACACTTTCCGGATTACTAAAGCAGACGCTGCAGAATTTTGGAGAAAAGCTTTTGGGGAAAAGTAAGTCTCTAAATACCTGTCTGTGAAAAGCCAAAGCTCACATGAGGAGATATCTGTTTAGAATTTTAAATTATGAACTATTTAAAAGACAGTGGGTCAGCAAGGTGGCTCAGCAGGTAAAGTGCTTGCCACACAAACCCCAGCCCGTGTCAAGATGGAAGGAAAGAACTGACTCCACAGAGTTGACTCTGATATCTGCGTGTGCACCGTGGCATTTGCAGTCTGCACTCACACATAAATACACACCACCACCAACAGTAACAATATACTTTTTTTTTTTTTTTGGTTTTTCGAGACAGGGTTTCTCTGTGTAGTCCTGGCTGTCATGGAACTCACTCTGTAGACCAGGCTGGCCTTGAACTCAGAAATCTGCCTGCCTCTGCCTCCCAAGTGCTGGGATTAAAGGCATGCGCCACCACACCCAGCTTTTTAAAAAAAAATGTGGGGGCGGGGGCAGGGACGATGGTGCATGGCCGGGATCCCCGAATTTGGGAGGTGAAGGTAGGAATGTGAGATTAACTAGCCTAGCCTCAGCAACATCCCAACAAATAAATAAATAAAAATATTTAAAACATGGGAAAGTGCCAGATGATCATGGTGTACGCCTTTAATCCCAGCACTCAGGAGGCAGAGGCAGAGGACAGCCAGGCTACGCAGAGAGACTCTGTCTCAAAAAGACTGTAAAAACAGAACATGGACGGGCTTTGGGGAAGCTGTGCAGTATTGACTTCCTGGCTTTGCTAGGGACACTTGTTTCTCCCATCTCTTGAGACAGGGTTTCTCTGTGTAGCCCTGGCTGTCCTGGAACTTGCTCTGTAGACCAGGCTGGCTTTAAACAGAGATCCGCCTGCCTCTGCCTCACGAGTGCTGGGACCAAAGGTGTGCGCCACCGTGCCCAGCTTTCTCCAATCTTTTCATTTTAAACTCTTCATTGATTGTGAATTTCATGGCATATACCCCAGTCCACTCATCTTCCAGTCCCTTTGTTTCCTCCCTCCCTCCCCCTCCAAAAGAAAATCGATCTCATTGTGGGAGCTGCCGTGTGTGTCACAGTTCACACATCTTTCCTTGCAAGGGTTCGTTGGTCTGTTAACACTGGACCCTTACCACCCCCCCTCGGCTATCCTAGTGCTGCCCTGTGGTATGAAGCTCCTCCAGCTCTGGAGAGACAGGAGCGGGTGCCTTCATGTGCTCCAGAGTTTATAGGTGGGGTGGGTGTTGGGGTGGGCCATCTCAAAGCCCTGAACTTGGGTGGTAGCTGAGTTGGTCAGGCCTTCAGCTTCCCTGCACACATGCGCACCACTAGGCTAGCTCCCTCAGTGTTGCAGCTGGCATGGGGCAGGGTCAGCTCCCCCACCCCCACAGCATCATGAACAGCTCTCCTGAGCTACCCAGCCATGGTACTACCGCCAAGGAGAGATGTGGCTAGCTCTGCATAGTCCTTGGACATCAGCAGGGTCCCAGGTGACAACCGAGAGCAGGAATGTTTGCATGCTTTTGGTGGTAATACGAGCCAGAAACATTGACACAGACCCCTGCTGCTGTATGGCAGTGGACCCAGCCATGGCTGTCAGCATCAGCATGTGCTGGCACTTCACCATGGCCTCAGGTGGCAGGGCAGGCGGCAGGCTGTTCGTCTTCACCCCCAACCCCTCCACCTCACACCCTCCCAACCCCCTTGTCCCCAGTACAGCCTCTGTTTTTAGTGTTCAAGCCCTTCTGTTTCTCTCCCATCTTTCCACGACATGCTTGCACATCCGAGTGGCTCCAGCTGTGCGCTGGCCACATGGTGGGCAATCCTCTGGATGTCCTTCTGCTTTCTCTAATCTTTAAACAAATAAAACTTCAGTTTAGATACTCGGTGTTCTTTGAATATTCTTCCGTTTCTCTCCCTGTCTATTCTGTTAACGGGCATTTACATTATTGGTTTAATTTTTTTTTAACTATTTGTATATGTATGTGTTTATACCTGTGAGTGCATTGTCTTCAGAGGCCAGAAAGGGTTTCAGATCTCCTGGAGCTAGAGTTACAAGTTACAAGTGGTTGGTTGTGAGTTGCTATGAATTGAACTTGTGTCTGAGGGATGTTAACACTGAGCCACCTCTTTAGCCCTACATTTCAAATTATTTGCTCTTGCAAACAGTGAGCAGTGTCATACTTATTTTTGTAAGTTAGACTCTCTCCTTAATTACATAGCTAAGAATGTTATTGGTAAATTGTGGAGTTTTACCTGCCCCCTCCACACACACACTAAGTATTGCCTAATTGCTTTGTATGAGTTGATATTCCTCTTTTTTTGGTGTTTTACAAGACAAGGTTTCTCTTGTGTGTAGTCCTGGCTTGTCCTGGAACTTGCTCTGTAGAACAGGCTGGCCTGGAACTCACAGATTTGCCTGCTTCTGCCTCCCTAATGCTGGTAAGAGTTAGTAATAGTTCTATACAGCATTTGCCTAGACTCTAGGCCCTGAGTTCAGTCTCTAGCAGTGAAAAAAACAAAACAAAACTAATTATAACTAACTACTAATTATAAAAATGTTAGCATGGTAGTTCACACCTGTAACTCCAACACTTGGGAAGCAGAGACAGGAGGACGTTTGAGGCCAGGCGGCAACACAGAAGTTTCTGGCCAGCTTTTTTGTCCCTAAAAACCAAGGAAACAACAACAAAAAAAAAAGCACTAATGTCTGAGCTAAAATTATGAAGATTATACTCCTGGTCTGACATGCATAATGCCCTGGTTCAATTCCCAGCACCACAAAAATAAAAGTCTATTATACAAAATAAGGACTGGTGTGATTTTTCAAAGCTCAGTTAAATAGGGTGGCACACCTTAGTTCTAGCACTTGGGAGGCAGGGACAGCTGGATCTTTCTGACTTCTAGACTAGTCAAGCCTACATAGGGAGACCTGCTCTCTTAAGAAAAGTTTAGTGTAGTGGTCTGCACCTCTCCTCTCAGCATGGCGAAGCTGAGAAGGAGGATGGAAAGCGAAGGCTGACCAAGGTCTCCATGGGAAAACCATGGGAAAATAAGGCCTGAGCTCATCTCCCTTCTGTGCTTCTAGAACAGATGCTGTAGGAAGCTGAGGAAGGAATCAATATGTGATAGTTTTGGCCAGGAAATTGTAGAAAGCCATCTCTGTTACTCATTAAGACGTTAACAAACATCCTTTACTTCCTTCTTTCTGTTCTTAGTCTAAATATAATTTGGCTTCTGTGGGAGAATTGCTGTTACTATTGGGAGCTTAATGTGTCTTGCGTGCTGTTGTTTAATGATAGTAGTGTGTACAGTTGCCTGTTCTCACCGTGCCTTCTCACCCATCCCTACCAGGACGATAGTCCCTTGGAAGAGCTTTCGACAGGCCCTGCATGAAGTGCATCCCATCAGTTCTGGGCTGGAGGCCATGGCTCTGAAGTCCACTATTGATCTAACCTGCAATGATTATATTTCTGTTTTTGAATTTGATATTTTTACACGGCTGTTTCAGGTATGATTCTAAAGTCGTTGGCTAACCTGCTGCTATTTTTCTGAGGAGAAAAAAAGATAAAAGCTGAATATGGTGGCTTGCAATTATAATCCTACCACTTAGGGAGTTGAGGCAGGAAGATTGCTGAGTTCAAGGCCAGCCTAGGCTATAGAGTGAGTTAGAGGCAAGCTAACAGCACCTACTGTTCTTTCAGAGGACCCTGGTTCAGTTCCCATGGTGACTGTAAATAATTCTAGGTGATACAGTAGCCCTGTTCTACCTTGTGGGCATCCTACATACATGTACTATGCATACATACTTGTAGGCAAAATACTCCTACACATAAGATAAATTATATATATGTATATATGTGTGTATGTATCAATCATAACTCATTAGACATGATGGATGGCACATTTCCTGTAATAGAGTACATGGGAAGCTGAGGTAAGAGAGTAAATAAAAGGTCATGGCTAGCCTCAACCACAGGGTAAGTTCCAAGCCTAGCCACCAGATATGTGTCTGCATGTGTGCGTGTGTACACACACACACACACACACACACACACACACAGAGTAAGACATCTCAAACAAAACAAAATTTTAAATGGCTATATAATCTTTCTTCTTGTGTAGTTATGGTTGTACTTGAATATTCTTTCACATTGTTGTAATGTCACAGAACTGTCAGAAAGGGATATAGTTTATCCCTTCGGGGTAGGCAGGTGGTGGCAGAGATAGTCTATTAAGAACGGGGGGGGCCCCCGGGCGGGGGTAGAGACTGCCGTTGGGATGTAGTATATGAGAGAAGAATAAACAAAAGAAAGAGAAATGAAAATATAGAGGATCAAAAGTTTAATGCCAATTAAGAGAAACCAACCCAATCTTGGATATTTACATTTATGTAGTGGTCCTTTTTTTGAGGACCAAAATGGTTGAGAAGGTGACACGTGTTGAGAAGAGACCCTGTGCCCATGTTCTGGATAAAAGCCGTGTGTAAATATAAATGTCATCCAATAAAAGTTTGAGACATGCTTTCTTTTTTTTTTTTTTTTAATTTTTCGAGACAGGGTTTCTCTGTGTACCCCTGGCTGTCCTGGAACTCACTCTGTAGACCAGGCTGGCCTTGAACTCAGAAATCCGCCTGCCTCTGCCTCCAAGACATGCTTTTTAAAAAGAACAAAAAAGAAAAGAAAGGCAAGGAAGGCATTCCCCAGAGTGGAAGTGAGCCTGAAAGTTGGGGAAGGTCCTGGCCTCAAAGCCTATTCTTTTATTTCTTTGGTGCATGTTTCCAACTTGTTTTTCTGTTGTTCAACTCTTTCTTTTTTTTTTCCTGGAAACAAAATCGTATGTAGCCCAGGGTAGACTCAAGTTTGTTATGTAGCCAGTGTCAGCCTTGAACTTCTGATCTATCTGTTTCTACCTCTGGAGTGTTGGGATTACAATATGTACCACCATACCTGGCTCCCTGTTTCATTCTAGATTGTTAACCCTAAAATGCATTGGTACTTGAATGTGTGTGTGCCAGCTTGAATAACGATTCCTTCATTAAGGGCTTAATAATTTTATATATATATATATTTCTTTTTTTCTGGGTTTAATCATTATTTGACCTTAATACTGGTTAGAGTTCCTGGGCAAATTTTCTTGTGTATCAACTTCTCCCTATACAAGGCAGTTTGTATTCTTAGCTCTCCAAGTTTCTACTCTCCCAAATAGATTTGTCTTCCCATAGGATGTCAATAGAGACTTTGGGGACAAACCTGAATTTATAACTGAGAGTTGAAGTTTTTTCTTTTTGTTTTTCATTGTTCTAAGGCTGATTATATGTCTGAGCCAAATGGTCTGTGATTGATGTTTTCTTTCTTTAGCCCTGGTCCTCTCTGCTCAGAAATTGGAACAGCCTTGCTGTCACACACCCTGGTTACATGGCTTTCCTGACCTACGATGAAGTGAAAGCTCGGCTCCAGAAGTTCATCCACAAACCGGGCAGGTCAGTGCGTGAGGCAGAGAGGCTCTTCTGACTGGCTCTCATGACACCACTTAGAGTTGAAGGAACATCATTCTATTGGTTCCCCAGGTTCCCCAGTGGCCCAGATTTAGGGATAGGATTCATCTGTCAGAGGACATGACTTAATTAAATCCTGTGATTTAGTAAATGTTTTTAAGCCAATCTAGAATGGGTTTTTTTTTCTTGGTAGTCCCAGTGTACAGCTTAGAAGGCTGAAACAGGAAGGTGGTTTGAGACTACCCTGAAATATATCACAAAACCCTGTCTCTAAAGTTAGAACAGTGAGGGTTAAATGTCTTACTTCTGCTCTGGAATCATTAGAGGAGTTGATTTTTTTCAAAATTGGAGATTGAACCCATACCTGTAAGCATACTGCGTATTCATTCCCCCTAAGCTGTGCACCAGGCCCTTGAAAAGTCACTCTCAATTCTTTTCAAGTTAGCATACAAAGAAAAGAGTCTCGTTATTACAATTTTATGCATTGTTTTTATTCCTGTTCATCACCCCCTACCCCATAGCAGTTATTCTTAACGGTCTTTTTGATTTTTGTCTCTATCTTGCCTTCTATCGAATATCAGCATATATATATTGAAACTTCTGGTCATCTCTGTTCTCAGTTACATCTTCCGGCTGAGCTGTACTCGTTTGGGTCAGTGGGCTATTGGGTATGTTACTGCTGACGGGAACATTCTGCAAACAATCCCACACAATAAACCACTCTTCCAAGCGCTGATCGATGGCTTCAGGGAAGGCTTGTGAGTACCACTGCTTTCTGCCTTCTCTCAGAATCTAGGAGCTGGAGGACTTCACCGCCTCTTTGTTAATGGCTTCTATTGCCTCTTTCTCCTGCAGGTGAAACTTTAGGAATGTGGTAACATGCCACCTTGCTTTGGCCTTGAGGTTGAAGCAGCTTTGCTCGTTTGAGGGGGGGTTCTCTCAGTAAGAGATAGGCTTTCTTTGTGGTTTTAGTTATTATAACAAGTAAGCTTTACCTCTTTTTCCAAATAAACTTAGTTTTAAAGCCAAATTAGAATGAAAACCTATGCAAAGATGAAGACATTCTTCAGCTGCTTATTTAAGTAGTCAGTATAAGAGTGATTAGATGTTCCAATGAACAGCAAACCTCGGGGGGCCTTCAACCTAGTTTTAGTCTGGTTTAGCAGTTTTTCTTCAGGCCTTGGGCTTTTGTGATGTAGTCTAATATTTATGGCTAAGTTCTCACTCCTCAATTATCATTCCTGTGGGAATTACAAATTCATTTTCAATCAGTAAACACTGAAGATACCGCTGTGGGTTTCAGAAGAGGAGCTGTGATCTGAAGTGACTAGAATTGATTTTCTATTATGTATCGTCTCTACATTAACACTGGGGCAAAAAGACACGCTGCTGCTAATACTGGAGCAGTCTGGTGCTAGAAACTGCTTATAGACACCTCAGTGGCTTCCTTTGCTTCCTATTACAGCACTTGTAAATTGGTGTCGAATAAAGTTGTTAGTCAAACGCAAATGAAGGGCAGGCTGTGGTGGCATGCACCTACAATCCCAGCACTCCAAGAACTGGACTAAGAGGATCGTGAGTTTGAGGCCAGCCTAGGCTACATAATAAAGCCCTCCCTTAGTAATCAAAAACGGTATTTATGACTCGTGGCCATTAGTGGAAATAAGGTTGACAAACTGACTCATCTGCTAGTTGTTTTGATATAACCTGGAGGCCACACCCCAGTGATAGTTACTTAAGTTTTGTTTGAGATAGGATCTCACCATGTAGCACTGGCTGCCCTAAAACTCATGTGAACCTGACTGGCCTCCAGCTCAGAGACTTGCCTGCCTCTGCTTCCCAAGTGCTGGGATTAGAGGTGTGTGATACCACACCTGGCTTCTTCTTGTTTCTATTTGTGTGTATTTTTTGCCTGTATGCATGCCTAAATAGGCACCACTTGTGTGCCTATTATCTGAGGACACCAGAAGAGGGTGTCAGAATCCTGGACCTGGAATTACTGTTGTAAGGCTCCATTTGGGTGCTGGTAATCAAACTTGGATCCTCTGGGCTGTAGTGGCACAAACCTTTAATCCTAGCACATTGGAACTAAGGTCTCTTGAGTTTAAGGCCAGCCTGATCTACACAGTAAGTTCCAGGACAGCCAGGGCTACGTAGTGAGACCTGTCTTAAAATAAAAACAAAAACAAAGAAACAACAAAAAGTCCTCTGGAATAGCAGCCAGTGCTCTAACCAAAGAGCTATCTCTTCAGACCCTTGTTACTTGTTTTTCAAATGTGGTAGCTTTCTCGTGTCTGTTTTAGCTTGCACTGATAAATTAACCTAGTTGAAACCCCAAGGATGGTTTATATTTGTCTCTTTAAAGCTATTTGTTTCCTGATGGACGAAATCAAAATCCTGACCTGACAGGCTTATGTGAACCAACTCCTCAGGATCATATCAAAGTAACCCAGGTAGCTGCACTTTGTTTTCTAACTATGGGCTGCTGGAGCTAAGCTTTTGGATGTATTTGCAGAACTCAGTATATAGTGTAAGGAATTGCAGCTGGTAGATTTTAAACCATTGACTAGTGAATGAGCGTGCGTGCGTGCGTGTAGTATTGTGCTGCGTGTGCATGTGGAGGTGAGCATCAGGTGTCTGTTAGTCACTCTTCTCGGGCTATTTTGGAATGGCTCTTTTACTGAACCCGGAGCTGACTGATTGGCTTGGGTGGCTGGCGGTCAGGCCTCTGGGATCCCTTTGTCTCCGTCCCCTAGCAGTGGTGTTCCAGATGTGTATCACTACACCTGGCTCTGAGGTGGACGCTGGGGACCTGAACTCAGGTCCTCATGCTTACACAACAGGCAGTTTTTCTCCGGTCTGTGCCATGTCTTAAACACCTACTGTGGCATTTTAATTGACAGTTCTTGGTTTTCCGGTTGCTAGCATTTTGCCGATCATTCAACACATTCTCATTTTTCTTTCACCAAAGGAACAATATGAACTATATTGTGAAATGGGCTCCACATTTCAGCTCTGTAAGATATGTGCCGAGAATGATAAGGATGTGAAGATTGAGCCCTGTGGGCACCTCATGTGCACGTCCTGCCTCACGTCCTGGCAGGTATGGTACCCAACGCCGTGCTGCTTCCATGGGACCATTCTGAGAGTCAGTATTGTGTGGACTTTAGAGATAGAAAGGATGGAGTAAGGTTAGCTTTTTAAATCCCTTTCTCTTCTTGCTTGTGTTTCTCCCATTTTGTTTTTTTCAAGGTAGTGCCTCATTTAACCAAATCAGTTTTGGAAGATGACCTCAAATTCTTGTTTCTTCTGCTTTGATCTCCCAAACGATGGCATTGCGAGAGTGGGACATAGTGCCTGACTTGCTTCCTTTTCTCGATTTTTTTTTAAAGATTTATTTATTTTATTTATATTAGTATTCTGTATAAGAGTCTTTTAAGAGGGCATTATATCTCACTACAGATGGTTGTGAGCCACCATGTGGTTGCTGGGATTTGAACTCAGGACCTCTGGAAGAGCAGTCAGTGCTCATAACCGCTAAGCCATCTCTCCAGCCCCCTTTTCTAGCTCTTCTTCTGGGCGCTGAGGAATGACTCTGAGACATGCTAAGTACTCTCTAAGCTGTATCCTCACTGATGTACTTTAATTCCTGGGAACTGTATCTTCTAGTAGATAAGTATGTTAAGCCCTTTCAGAAGTATCTGTCACTGTCATCTGTTCTTCTGCAGGAATCAGAAGGTCAGGGCTGTCCTTTTTGCCGATGTGAAATCAAAGGTACTGAGCCCATCGTGGTGGATCCGTTTGACCCCAGAGGCAGTGGCAGTCTGTTACGGCAAGGAGCAGACGGTGCTCCTTCCCCAAATTACGACGATGATGATGATGAGCGAGCTGATGACTCTCTCTTCATGATGAAGGAGTTGGCGGGTGCCAAGGTAAGGGGGCGTTGGAGATACAGCTTGGTGTTAGAGTGACATCTTGTTCAGCATTTCTGTTACTGTGATAAAACATTAAACGTCCTAGAACTGGAGTTGCGGAAAGTTGTTAGCCACCATGTAGGTGCTGGGAATTGAACCTGGGTCTTCTGGAAGAACACGGCTCACCACTGAGCAAGTCTCTAGTCCTAGTAGCTTTCATCAGGAAGACAGTGTAGGTGCAGGTGAGACACTGTCTAGCACAGGGAGACAGTGGATGTTGTTTCAATGGTTGGGTATGTTTCTTCAATATTACATGTATTTGGTAAAAAGAAAGGAAGGTTTGGTGGCACATGCCCTTAATCCCAGCACTCCAGAGGCAGGTGGATCTGTGAGTTCCAGTTGAGCCTGCTCTACAGACTGAGTTCCAAGACAGCCAAGGCTACATAGAGAAACTCTGGATTTGGAACCTTGTAGAAATTACAAAACAAACGTCTTCATCTGTGTATTGATTGCCACTTGATTATCTCTGGTGGTTTGAATGAGAATGGCTTCCACAGCTCATGCATTTGAATTCTTGCTCCCTAGTTGGTGGAAGGATTGGGAGGTGGGGCCTTGTTAGAGGAGCTGTGTCTGCGAAGCCCAGTATCCTTCTCGGTTAGCTCTCTCTGCCTCCTGGCTGTGAGCTCTCAGTTACTGCTGCAGCACTCTGTCTGCTGCCATGTGCCCTGCCATGAAGGCCATGGACTCAAACCCTCTGGATCAGTGAGCCCCAAATGAAATGCTTTCTTTATGCGTTGTCACGGCAATAGAACAGTAACTAAGGTATCATCCCACGGTTCATTTAGTCTTAAGGATGTATAGTTTCAAGGCTTAAACACGTTGGTATATTGTGCAAGTCTGTCTGTGGGTTAAATTTGTAGCAGAACTGTGGGGCAAATGCTGTGGCATTTACACTTTATGAGAGCTGTGGTAATAACAGGTGTGGCGGTACAGACTTAGGAGGCTGAGGCAGAAGGACAGTGCCTCCTGCCCACATATACATATTTAAAAATCAATTCAGGCCAGTGTAAGCTACACTGAAAGGCTTTTTTAAAAAAATAAAACCTTGTTAGTACTGAGGAAAATAATTAAGGGGGGGTACACATAAGAATTCCACAAAGAGGCCGGGCGGTGGTGGCGCATGCCTTTAATCCCAGCACTTGGGAGGCAGAGGAAGGTGGATTTCTGAGTTCGAGAGTTCGAGGCTAGCCTGGTCTGCAGAGTGAGTTCCAGGATAGCCAGGGGTACACAGAGAAACCCTGTCTCGAAAAACCAAAAAAAAAAAAAAAAAAAGAATTCCACAAAGATAGTAGTATTTCAACTTCAACTTCATTTCTTCACTGAATGACAGATAGTGTTTTCTTATTTTATTCTTTGTAACTTTCAGTTTATTATGAATTAACTTTTAGAAGATACTAAAATCACACCATAGAGGTGTATAAAAGCACGGGCCTGTTCTTCACACTTTGGTGGCTGTCATTTGTTTTGTGTGTATGTGTGTGTGTGTGTATATTGAGCCCGATCGAGGCACTTGGCCTCTACCACTGAGCCCCATCATCGATTTGAGGTTTTTGGGTTTTTTTCTTAAATATATTTCTGTTGTATAAAGTGATGATTTGTTTTTTTCCACAACCTTTTTCTTGAAATAATTATTTTTCAAGTTTTCTAGAGAAATCAAATTGGCATCAAATCTGTCACTGCCGAGTAAAGAGTGCTCTCAGGCATCCCCTCAGGAGGCTGTGCCAACAGACCAATGCTGTAAACATGCTGGATGGTAGTAGTTAGTATATAACAGAGTGTTGTGATCTGAGGAAGTCATCTGTGCTTTCTCCGTCTGGACTGTCATTCTCTAAATGTCTGCTTTTCTGTCAGCCTGAGGCTTGCTTTCCCCGTCCCCTCCTGGGACATGCATCTCCTCTTTTCAAAGGCTCGTTTCTTATATCCTATGCTTTTCTTTTTCCATTTTTGAGGAAAATACGTCCTTAAAAGACATTTCCAGGTGTCTGGGGAGATGGCTCAGTGGTTAAGAGCATGTGCTACTCTTCTAGAAGAAGACCCAGGTTTGATTCCCAGTATCCTTGTTAGGTGTCACAGCCACCCGGGACTCCAGTTCCTGGGGTCCAACTCCTCTGACCACTTTATGGTTACCTGCATTCACATACAGATGTCTCCATACAGACGCATAGACATATTAAAAACAGCAAAAATAAATCTTTTAAAAATCTCTATAAAAAGGTGAAGCTGTAACTTTTTTTGGGCCTTTGATGTCATAACATTTTTATTCAGACCTTTGGCATGCTGGCTAAATTTATGCCAGCTTGACACAAACCACAGTCATTTGAAAGGAGGGAACCTTGATTGAGAAAATGCCTCAGTAGATCAGGCGAGGGTCACCCTGTGGGGCATTTGGTGATTGATGTGAGGGCCCAGCCCAGTGTAAGTGGAACCATCCTTGGGCTGGTGGTACTAGGTTCTATAAGAGAGCAGGTTGAACTAGCCTTGTGGAATAAGCCAGTAAGCTGCCATCCTCCACGGCCTCTGCTTCATCTAACCCTGCCTCCAGGTTCCTATCCTCTCCTAACTTCCTTCAGTGATGAACAGTGTTGTGGAAGTATAAGCTGAATAAACCCTTTTCTTCCCCATGTTTGGTTTTCCTGGCATTTCTTCACAGTGATAGTAACCTTAACTAGAACAAGTGTCTAGTTCTAGGATTCTAGTTACAAACATTCAGCTCAGGGAGCTGGAGAGGTGCTCAGTGCTTTAAGGACCCTTGGTGCTCTTCCAAAGGATCTTAGTTCAGTGCGCAGTGTCCTTGTGAAGTGGCTTACAACCAACTACACTCTATTTCAGAAGGATCCAGTACCATGCTCTGTCCTCTGTGGCCACCTGCACTCGGTCGGCATCCATTCACACAGACAGACAGACAGACAGACAGCCTCTCTCTCTCTCTCTCTCTCTCTCTCTCTCTCTCTCTCTCTCTCTCTCTCTCTCTCTCTCTCGCACACACACATACACACACACACACAAAATGAAAAAAAAAAAAGAAATAAAATTTTTTTCAGCTTATCTCTAAGTCACAAGAGCTTCATGGACTTCTGGGTCCAAGGCTTTGCTCTTTCATGACCTTGCTGCTCTTGCTGTGAACCCTGGTGCTTACTTTTCTTGTTCTTTATCCAGTTTCCATGTTTGCCCTACCCTTGGTTTCTTAGAAAAGTGAAGGGTGTCACAGTGCCCAGCTTAAGAGGCTGATTATTAAAGTCAGCTTTGGATTGATGATAGGACAAAGGAGAAGCTGTAGCTTTGATGGGCTCAGAGGAAGTCAAGTGCTGGACTAGACACCAGTGGCTACAGATAATATATAGCTGTTGTCCTTAAGTGTGATTTATCTATATTATTTGTGTATGTATTTTTGTGCATGGTTGTATGTGGGTGGGTGGGGGGTGGGTGCCATGGCACTGCTGTAGTGTTAGAAGACAGTTTTGTAGAGTCAGTTCTCTCCTTCCACCGTCACATGTGCTCCAGGGCTTGAGCTCAGGTTACCAGGCTTGCAGAGCAAGCACGTTTACCTAGCTTCAATCTGGACAGTATCCTTTTTTTCGCCAAAGAAGAAGAGATAGAGTATTATAGTAATTTTAAAAATTGTAAGGTGGGCTCTTTACTGTAGAACTGCCTTTCTAAATGAATCTGCCAATAATCTCTGTGATTGAGAGCGGTGATTACATAGTCCAGGGTTTCAAAACTACTGTTTTTAGAGATCTGTAGGACCCAGCACCTATGATCACATAGTATCTGCTGTCTGTAACTTTAGGAATAAGAGATACTCTTCCCTAAACAAGAGTAACCCATTAAGGTCTCATCGGTTCTAGGTGGAAAGGCCTTCCTCTCCATTCTCCATGGCCCCTCAAGCTTCTCTTCCTCCAGTGCCACCAAGACTTGACCTTCTACAGCAGCGAGCACCTGTTCCTGCCAGCACTTCAGTTCTGGGGACTTCTTCCAAGGTAAAGCACTAACCATTTCTGCCCTTTGCTGAGCCTCTGTTGTGTACTCGTGGTTCTGATTGGCTTGTTTCTGTCTTGTTTTCATAGGCTGCTTCTGGCTCCCTTCATAAGGACAAACCATTGCCAATACCTCCCACACTTCGAGATCTTCCACCACCACCGCCTCCAGACCGGCCTTACTCTGTTGGGGCAGAAACAAGGCCTCAGAGACGCCCCCTGCCTTGTACACCAGGCGACTGTCCATCTAGAGACAAACTGCCCCCTGTCCCCTCTAGCCGCCCAGGGGATTCATGGTTGTCCAGGCCAATCCCTAAAGTACCAGTAGCTACTCCAAACCCTGGTGATCCTTGGAATGGGAGAGAATTAACCAATCGGCACTCGCTTCCATTCTCATTGCCCTCACAAATGGAACCCAGAGCAGATGTCCCTAGGCTTGGAAGCACATTTAGTCTGGATACCTCCATGGTGAGTCCTAAATTTTAAACCATTTAGCCTAGTAGTATCTGTGGGCAGTATTTTATAGTCCGAAGTGTTTGGTTAGACTGGGCATGATGGTACACACCCTTCTTCCCAGCACTTGGGAGGCAGATGCAATTGGATTTCTGAGTTCAACGCACCCTGGTCTACAAAGTGAGTTCTAGGACAGCCAGGGCTGCAGAGAAACCCTGTCTTGGGGGTGGGGGTGTTGGCATGCATGGTTTTGGTCTGTATCCTAGGCTAGCTTCAAATTCTTGATCTTTTTGCCTTTGCTTCCTGAGTAACTGAGATTACAAGTATGCACTATTGTGCCTGGTTTTGGGTCACAATTACTTGATAGGTTTTATATAGAGGTCAGAGATAGCATTAATCCCTAACCCATGAGAAGTATGTAAATTAAGGGCTGATGGGAAGGCTCAGTGTGCCGGGTGGTGGTAGCGCACGCCTTTAATCCCAGCACTTGGGAGGCAGAGGCAGGCGGATCTCTGAGTTCGAGGCCAGCCTGGTCTACAGAGTGAGTTCCAGGACAGCCAGGGCTACACAGAGAAACCCTGTCTTGGGGAAAAACAAAACAAAACAAAACAAAACAGAGAAGGCTCAGTGTAAAGACATCTCCATCTCAGTTTGATCCCTGGAATGTGGTAGAAGGAAGTGAATTTGGAAGGAGGTCTGCTTAAGGAATACCTCAAGCCAGACTGTGATCCTGTACTGTAGTCCTCGTACTTGGGAGGCAGAGGTAGATGAAGCTCTTGAGTTCAAGACCAGCCTTGTCTATGTAATAAGTTCTAGGCCAGTTACAGTTACCCAATTAAACTCTGTTTCAGAGACAGAGACAGAGAGACAGAGAGAGAGAGAGAGACAGAGAGAGACAGAGACAGAGAGAGACAGAGAGAGAGAGAAAGAGAGAGAGAGAGAAGGGGAGGGAGGGGAGAAAGAAAAGAGAAGTAAGGAAACACCCAAGAGCTGACACTAGCTCAGTAGGTAAAGACACTCGGTGGTGACCCCGTTGACGCAAGTGTGATTCCTCTGGACCCATGGAATGAAAGGAGAGAAGAGAGTCCTGGAAGTGTGACTTTCACACATACATATACACACTCAATAAATACTTTTTGTCTTTGGGTTTTTGTTTGTTTTAAGAGACTAGGGGGCTAGAGAGGCGGCTCAGCAGTTAAGAACACTTGCTGCTCCTGCAGAGGACCTGGGTTCGATTCCAGCACCCACATGGTGTCCTACACCTCCCTGTAACTCCAGTTCTTGGAGATCCAGTGCCCTTTTCTGGCCCCTCTGTCTGGTACCAGTGATGATGAGGTGGGGGTGTTTTAGCAGAAGGGACTAGCTGGGTGACTGGATCCTTTGGAGAGCATGAAAAGGATCCAGTACGGCTTCGAGACAGGCATCAGGTGAAAGAGAGGCGTGCTCTCATAAACTGATGGTGTGGACCTAGTTAACAGACACCAGTCTGATGGGTGAATTGACAAGGAAGTTGGAAAGCTGAGGAGGAATACAGTTAAAGGCTGTAATGACACTCAGATGGCCATTTGTTGGTTCCACAGAAGAGATCAAGACGTTTGAGTGGCACCTAATGATGTAGTATTGAGGAAGAATGACCATTTTGACTTTAGGTATAGATTTATTGATGATAGAAGTGGTATTTCTGTGGAAAACTTACTTTGTCTCATCGTGTTTAGAATTAGAATGAAGAAGATATTTCCTAGCTTTTCCTTTCTAACTCTCCCACCTGATATTATTTGAGAATCAGAATCCTTAAACAACAATTCTGTCAGAGTTGCTAATCCTTAGATTTTGAGGTCCGCGTTTATGTTAATTACTGTGATTTTTTTTTTTCTAGTAAGTTCAGTAAGAGGAGACACTCAGCTGTAGGTGGGAAACAGAAGTTCTTTTCAGACCTTTTCTTACTTTGCAGAATATGAATAGCAGTCCAGTAGCAGGTCCAGAGAGTGAGCACCCCAAAATCAAGCCTTCCTCATCCGCAAATGCCATTTACTCTCTGGCTGCCAGGTAAGCGTACTGCATCTGGATTTCATTCTCTGCAGTGCTTATTTTTTTCTTTCTTTCTTTTTCATAAGACAAAATCTTCCTAGGCAGACTCTGATGGCCTCAAACTCACACCGGGTTTAGAATGGTGAACCTGGTGTGGTTGGTGCATACCTATACCCTACACAAGAGGGATTAAGACAGTAAAACAGTTACAAGTTTACAAGCTAGCAAAACTTATCAAAACAAATAAGAGGGCTCGATTGTTCAGATATTTGCTGTTCTTCCAGAGGACTTGAGTTAGAGTCCCAGCACCCAGATGGAGCAACACAGTCATCTGTAACTTTAGCTCTGGGCATCTAATGCCTCTGGTCTCCTTGAGCACCTGCAGTCATGTACACATGCCCATTTGCAGACTTTCATATATTTCATGTTTCCTTATAACTGAAGTCAATACAAATCTTAAAAGCCACCTCACAAGTCTCCTACTTGGGGTGCTGTGATTTCAGTGTTTTGTCGTGCTTTCTTTTCATTTTTTCTTCTTTATACATGTATGTAGGTCAACTTTGCTGAGTCTTATCATTTTTGTTAATCTCTTTGGTTTTTCGAGACAGAGTTTCTCTGTGTAGCCCTGGCTGTCCTGGAACTCACTCTGTAGACCAGGCTGGCCTCGAACTCAGAAATCCGCCTGCCTCTGCCTCCCAAGTGCTGGCATTAAAGGTGTGCGCCACCACTGCCCGGCTTTGTTAATCTTTTTAATGAATCAATTTGTTTTTCTTATATTTCTATGGCAAATGCCCTTAGTCTTAGCACCTGGAAGGCAGAAAAGGCTAGATCTCTAAGTTTGAAGCCATCCTAGTCTACATAGTGAGTTCCAGGACAGCTAAGACTACAGAGTGAGACCCTGTCTCAAAAAAAAAACCAAACACCAGTGGGACACAGTGGGACCTAAAGAGCTAACTCCAGGACAGCTGAGGCTACACGGAGTCACCCTTTCTTGGGAAAACCAACCGACCAAACAGAACAAAAATGTATACTGTTCTCATAGAAAATATTATGTGAATACAGAGGCAAATAAATGGAAGCCCTTCTGTTGATTATTTAGAATATGCAAAAAAAAAAAGGTGAAAGTGAAAAGACAGACAGACACTGAGGTTTATTCAAAGGCCTATGAGGCAGGACTGTTTTGTCTGCAGTCAGTATTTCGTCTTAGTCTCCTTTCATAAAGTGGGATAACAGGGTTTGTTTATAAGTTTTTTATTTTAATTTTGTGTGGATGGCTGCTCTACTTGAATATATGCCTGTGTGCAGGCAGCGCCCGTGGAGATGCACCAGAAGAGGCAATCAAATCTGGCAGTGGAGTTAGAGATGGTTGTGAGCTGCTGAGTGCTGGGAATTGGACCCCAGTCCTGGAACAGTAGCCAGTGCTCTTAGTCTTAACCACTGGGCCATGTCTCCAGCCCTGCGGGAAGGGAAGCACTGAGAACTCCGTTGTCTGCCGCTGCAGCACCGAGGGCTCGGAAGAAGGGCCCAGGGCTGTGGTCAGTGCGCAAGGTCCTGTGCTGGACCCTGCACGGCCCCATCCACCCAGACAACCTGCACCAAGAGTCAGAAGTCCAGGATCCACTCAGGACGCTCGCAGCCAGATTACTTTTTATCTCTTTATTTTAGATTTTCCTGGTAGGAAATATTAAAGAGAAAAGGCAGTTATACTTTTGACAAACTATGTACCCTGCTACCGTCAGTAGGTTTCATATTGTTAGACATTTCTAGCATTCTGTTAGAAAGCTGCCTGCTGTTCTTTTTTTTTTTTTAATTGTTTTCTTTTTCTTTTTTTTCCTCTCTCTCTCTCCTCCTCCTCCTCCTCTTCTTCTTCCTCCTTCCTCTTCCTCCTCCTCCTCTTCTTCCTCTTCTTTTTCCTTATAAAAGAAATCTCCTTATAAAAAGAGCTTTATACAAAACTTACTTGTAAGTTGAATATACTTCCCATTCTACTTTTAACATTTGGATGAGGTGACATTTGTAGTTGCTGCTTGTTTCCTACTTGCCGTGGTCTGTGGAGATGATAGCACCCTAGACGCTATTTATTTTGTTTTGTCAAACTGAGCTGTTTCAGTTCTAAATCTGTTTCATACTTGAAAGTTTTCCAGCTTAATTCTTTTTTCCTTCTTCTTTGTTTTTAAAACTCTTCTAGGCCTCTTCCTGTGCCAAAACTGCCACCTGGGGAGCAAGGGGAAAGTGAAGAGGACACAGAATATATGACTCCCACATCTAGGCCTGTAGGGGCTCCGAAGCCAGAGCCCAAATGGTCTTCAGAGGCAACCCAGAGTTCACGGTATGCTCACAACAACCCCATTTGGAGCCAAGTGTCTGCTGTCTTTTACCTGCTTGCTTACTGATTGCACGTACTATCACCTTGTCAGAAGTAAAGAGGTAATCAAATCACCTCAGAGAAAGAGAAATCTAGACCCTGGCGCATAGGGTCTAATGTGGATAAAGTTGTATTGTTTCCACAATGGCACAGCGTCCTCCAGAGCACGCACATCTGATCTTGTCACGGGTCAGTCATGGTACTGGTGGAAAGAGAATGTGTTATTTTGAAAGAACTGGGGTCTAGGACAGTTAGAAACAGGTTAGTAGTCTTCTTAAATTTGCAAATAACAGAATTTTGTTTGTGAAGACCTTTGTACTTCTTTGTGATTCAGAGCATGTGACTGTGAGCAGCAGATTGACAGTTGCACGTATGAAGCAATGTATAACATTCAGTCCCAAGTGCTCTCTGTGGCAGAAAACAGCGCCTCTGGTGAGTAGCCTGTCTTCTACCTAACAATTGATAGGCCTTATGTCTGTAAATGTCAGTACCTGAGAGTCTGAGGCAAAAGGATTGCAAGTTTGAGGCCAACCTGGCCTGCATAGCTAAGACCTTGTGTGGAGAATAAAAAGCAAAGGAGATCATAGGGTCACTCTGTAACGTTTGGTTGAGATAGCTTAAACCAAGGAGAAAATTATTCTCAGTACTCTTTGTTAAAAGGTCTTTGATTTGTGGACAAAATGGACGCCACCTGTCTTTTATTTCCTTCTCAGACACTAGTTCCTGTTTTTTTCCTCCTCTCAGGGCCTGGAGATAGTTATATAGAGATATCTGTTATATGGAGATGGCTGTTATATGGCTGTTATATGGAGATATCTGTTATGGCTGTTACATAGAGATATCTGTTATATGTCAGCACTAGCAGCTCTTGTAGCCCCGTTACATTGATGAGATTCTTTTGTGTGTGGGTGGTAAATACTCAATCCCCTTGTTAAGCAGTTTACCAAAGGGAAAGGCCGAGAAGCCTTCTTCACACACAGCTTCTGACCGATCTTCTCAGGTGAGATGCACAGAGGAGGCTCTAAGATAACACTAGAGTGTCTTGCATCAGTAGCTATTAACCGTAGCAAAAAGTTAACTGTTATGTGTTCAACAAGCAAGCTGGTGCAGGTTTTACTCTCTCCACAGGACCTCAGATGGTATTTCATCCATAGTGGGCATTTGAGTAACTGTTGAATGAAATAAACGGTTGTATGCACACATGAATAAATAAATGGATGCCTCTGGATTGAAGTGTGTTGGAAAATGATGTCAGGAGAGGACAGTAACTTACACCAACTTTCTTCTAGGAGAAGGGAATTTGGCCACAGCCCATAGCAGTACTGGCCCCGAGGAATCGGAAAACGAAGATGATGGCTATGATGTGCCTAAGCCACCTGTGCCAGCTGTACTGGCCCGCCGCACCCTGTCTGACATCTCCAATGCCAGCTCCTCCTTTGGCTGGTTGTCTTTGGATGGTGATCCCACAAGTGAGTGTCCAGGCTGTCTTGACTAGTCCTGGATTGTTGTCTAACCTCTGCTTTATAATGGAGCATCATGACTTTCTCTGGTGTCAGTAATAGAAGTAGTGAATAGAAGTAGTGGTCTGTGTCCTGTATCTAGTGTTGGAAAGCTAGTCCTAGGTCCCGCATTAGGAAGTGAAACTGGGCAGGCTGTGCTTAGACCACAGCTCCCCTATAGAGGAGGGCGGGGCTTCTAGTTCCTTTGAGTCTGCATGTAACTCTGGGAGTTAGGCTTGATGGAAGCGATGCTATGCTCCTTCCCCCCCCCCCCCAAGCTCTGTCCCAATGAGGAAGAAGTGTGCCGCCCTCCAGTACACATTTTATGGGCCTAGGCCAGCCCCATCCATCTCTAGTGTCCAGGGCTGCTCTTGTACCTGTGGCTGCCTGATAGAGCAGCAGCCAGAATAGCTGTCTCTTTGGAAATTGAAGACAACTAGCGACTTGTTGCCCATCTCGGTGGCTTCCCCAACCAGTCCAGCTTGCTGCTTCCTCTCTGCAGTTTAAGCTGTTATCTTCTTATTTGTAAGAGTAGTTTAGTGAGTGTTTGAACCTATTACTAAGTATCACACACAGTGTAGGTGTTGAATGCTTTTCAAAGTCACCATTGCATTAATAGAATGGGTGCATGGCATATTTGGAAGGTCCTTTACTCTGGGATAGGAGTCTAGATCTAGCAATCCAGTTTTTAGGCCAGCAGCAAAACACTTAACCTTGCATGTGTGTGTAGCCCTGGGCTCAGTTCTAGTACCACAGGCTGAGAAAACCCAGACTTCTGCCTGGCATGGTGGTTCATAGCTGTAATCTCAGCACTTAGGAGACTGAAGCAGGAGCATAGCTGTGAGTTTGAATCCTGTCTGGGCTATAGAGTGAACTCCTGTTTCAGAACAACCAAAAACCAGAACCCCAGCCTTGTGACAGAAAAGGACACTATTAACATTATTAGTAACTACTGCTACTGCTGTTCAATGTGAGCTTCCCAAGATTTGCAGATATTTTCTTTCCTTTCAGACTTCAATGAGGGTTCCCAAGTTCCTGAGCGGCCCCCCAAACCATTCCCTCGGAGAATCAACTCAGAACGAAAAGCAAGTAGCTATCAACAAGGTGGAGGTGCCACTGCAAACCCTGCAGCCACCGCCCCCTCACCACAGCTCTCAAGTGAGATTGAACGCCTCATGAGTCAGGGCTATTCCTACCAGGACATTCAGAAAGCTTTGGTCATTGCCCACAACAACATTGAGATGGCCAAAAACATCCTCCGGGAATTTGTTTCTATTTCTTCTCCTGCCCATGTAGCCACCTAGCACATCTCCCTGCCATGGCTTCAGAGGACCCATGAGCCGGGCTCTTACTCAAGGAGCACCTAGGAAAGCAGTGGCTTCTTTTGGGACGTCACAGTGAGGTCCTGCCTTTTCTGTGGGGATCAACACATATGGTTCCAAGATTTCAAAGCAGTGGAATGAAAATGGAGCAGCTAATGTGTTTCCTTCTTGTATTGGTCTTAAGAGTGTTTCTGTAGCCCTGCAGTCTCCATTAGAAGACAGTGGGGTTTTGTTAAATGGTAACCTACCCCAGGAGCAGCACAGAGAGCAGTAGAAGTGCTGTCCTGTGGCCCTAGTTAAGGACTTAAGACTTTCCTGTTAAGGGTGTGTGTCTCTGTGTCTGTGTGTCCTGTCGTTATAAGATTATCCTGCTGTGTGTGAATCCAGGCAGGGAGTTAGCACAAGAGCTTCAGAAAGGAATCTCTGAAGACTCCCATCTACTGTGGTATGGCACCTAGCCCTGCTGGATAGTATAACCTCAGGCCTCCCCGGTGGCTTAGATTATCATGTACTTAGCTATGTTTTATAGTGCTAGAATACCCCTGCTGTCCTTTCCCTTGGAAACTCCTCACTCCACCTCCTCCTCATTGGTATTCTGGAGGCTTGCTGTGACCAGTCTGACTAAAACCAAGCAGCTTAGAGGATGGTCTTTCTAATGTGTGATGGTGTTGGTTTGTTTCTTTCTAATGTGTGTTGGTGTTGGTTTGTTCAGTTGACTAGGTGGGAAGGACAGAACTATTCTGTGGTTACAGTTAGAATTGATGCTAGCACCTAACACTGGTCACTCCAAAGTGCTGTTTCTATAGGAATGTTGGATTTGTTTTTTTGTTTTTAAAGAAAGTTTAATTCTCCTAGTTACCTAATGATTGGTTTGAGATAGAGGCCTTCATATACATTCCGTGTCCTCCCCAGGAAATAGCCTGTGGGAGTCTGTTGCCTTGATGCCAAGGTATATGTCTCTGATGTAGGTCATGAGTCTTTCTACCTAACAGGAACAGAACATGTGTTTCTGGGCATGCTTTCCAGCCCAAAACCATAGAGCTTTTAGGAAGCATCAGTCATGTATACTATTTAGATTTACAGTAAACAGTAAGAACTTACCTGAGTCTTTCTGGCCAGTGGTTAACTTCAGGTTAGGAATCTCTCCCGTGAATAGGAGCCAGGTTAGCTTTTCAGAAATGATTTCTTTCTTTGCCCTCTAAGGAACAGAGATAACACCACAAGTGAGCATACAGCATTTGCTTATAACCAGCGCCTTCTCTAGAGTGGTGCACCAGAGATGTGGTTGTTCATGTGCCTAACGTGTGCTTTGGAATGGTTTCTCTTCCTCTCTCCTTGCCTTTTTTATTGGGTCCTAGATAGAACCACCGTGTCATCCACCCACAGCCTTTAGACATCATTCACTGAAATTCTTTAGTCAAAGACAATTTGGGACAACGTAGTAGTTTGTGTATTTATGGGTTCATCGAGGAGATCTAGGGTTGTTTTGGAGATCTGTTTCTAAGTCATTAGTGACCTCTTGGGTTCAGTTTGTTCTCTGACTGGAGTCTTGCTGGCTTCTCTGGCAGTGTTGCCTTTTCTCCTGTTGAGTATGAGCTGGCTTTTACATGAATCCTCTGTTCTTTAGGTCCAGACAGAAATGACCCACCAAGAATCTGCTTTCTTTCCAGTCTTAACATCTTTGCAACTAAAATCTTTTGAACTCTTCTTTTAGTTTCTAGATGCTTCAAGGTCTGGATTTTATCCTCTTGCCTTAAGGCTATTCTATTCCCAAGGCAGACACTGTGGTGCTTTTTATTGACTTGCTATGGTTACCCAGTGCCTCTTCTACATAGCAATGAGTAGAAAACAATAGCTTATCATCCACAAAAAGCTTGTGACATCCAATTTTGTGTTCATTTGAATATTGAAAGCCTAAGCCAGGCTTGGTGGCATCTCAGCACTTGGGAGGGAGATGATGGCACGATGATCCGGAGTTCACTCCCAGCTCAAAGCTCCTCAAGACCCTGTCTCAAAAAAAACAGGGGTTAAAGAGATGACTCTTCAGTTAAGAGCAACTGTTCTTGCAGAGGACCTAGGTTTGGTTCCTGGCACCCATGTAAAAGGTTTCTCAGATATGTCAGCAACTCAACAACCATCTGTAACTTCAGTTTAAAGGAATCTGATGCCCTCTTCTGTCCTCTGTGGGCATCGGGCACAAATATGATGTGCACACATATGATGTGCATACATACATGTGGGCAGAGCATTAAATAAATACATATTAAAAATTAAAAAAATAAAAATTAAAGGCCTTACAAGAGAACCAGGGAAAAGCTACCGGCCCTAATCTGTCTATATTGGAGTGTTTTTTTTTTTTCCTTGTAGATATTACCTAGAATCTGAAGATCTGTCAGGAAAACCAAGCATTGGCTACGTACCTTTTGCCTTTTTTGTGTGTCTTTAAGTCTTCTCTGGAGGCTAAGGATATAGCTCAGTTGGTAGAGTACTTGTCTAGCTAGCATTCACAGAGCCATGGTTCAGTCCCCACACTGCACAGAACAGTGGGCTAAGGTACACCTCTGATCCTTAGCACTCAAGAGGTGGAGACAGTCTCAGAAGCTCAAGGCTACTCTTGCCTACATAGCAAGTTTAAAACTAGCCTGGGCTACATGAAACCCTGCCTCCAAAAGAAAACAAAAACCAAATCTGTGGAGATTACTGCCCATACTGTCTAGGAAAATGACAGTCTTGTCCTGCCCTCTGCTGAGCATGGCGTGGGGAGTGATAGGTGGGTATTCAGTCCCTGTGCTAGACAGGCACATTTTTGATTGACTTGGGTGTTGGTTTATCAGCTATATATCTGCAGGCACTAAGGTTTGAGGCCATTGTGTGCAGACCTTTCCTTTGCTCTCAGGACACACTGGGGCCCATGCCTTGTCCTATTAGGTGTCCTTAGGAAGGTTTCATGCCACTCATTTCTGATAGTCTCCAAAATTTGAATTTCTTTTTCCTGTGAAGGCCAATTTCCTGTTTTTCATTTTCCATTTGTATGGCAAATTTGAATTCTTTGACTCTTCCTCTGAGTTTACCTAAAACTGCCTTTCCATGAACAAGCTTCATTTTGCCATTTTTGGCAAGCCCACCCCCTTCCCCTGTTCTGTGTTACAATTAGGAAAACCTCTTTAATGTTTCTCCTTTTTTCTCAACTTCCTTAACCTATTCAACACAGGCCCTTGCTCTTTGTCATTGTGGATTGTTTTATGTGCCACCTTATTGACGGGTCACTGTCTTGCCAGGACTCCAGGCAAGGCTTTAAGTCCAGTCCCAGAACTGGGTTTTTTAGCATCCCTCTCACTGGCCTTCTAAAGTGAAAAGTTTTTAAAATGGTTTTAAAAACCTGTGGGTTCTGAAGTATACCTCTTTCTAGTTAACAGACTCGGCAGCTTAGCATCTCAGCTTTTGCATGTTAATATTTATTTAAGCAGCAAATTGACCCTGGCTGGCCATTCTCCTTATCCCTCTTTCTCCTCCCAGCCCTGCCCTGCATACTCTGCTATTTTTGTCTTTCTCTTTCAATTCAGACATGCCTATCACTGGACCACAATGTCTGATAGTAGTACTGGCATTGGTTGGCTGAGATGGATAGAAGGCACTATTCTTCATATTTAAAATATTTATTTCCTCTGTAGGAAAGTAAGAGATATTTTATGGCCCAAGTATCCAACTTACAAGTTAATTTTTGTACTATAACTTGCTTGCAGACCAAACCAGGGACCAGCTGTGTCTTCCTTTTATGGCGCCATTAACAAGACCCAGTCTTTCTGTGATGGTTAGCTATGACACAAGTGCTGAATGCCCTCCTACCTCACGTCCTGAGATTCAGAAGGCTACCAGCCTTCTCAGACCTTCCTTTTTTCTGTTGACCTTTCTGAGTCTGGAATGATCACTCCATTGAATAGAGTGTTCCAACCTGTGCCCTGGCTACAGATGTTTGAGTGATTACTGTGTGTCAGAGACGCCGGCTGTCTGTTCTTTCCTGCCACCTCATGATGCTTTGCGGGGCTTGGGAAGTTACTGTGGGCTGTCCTGAACTCTTTTTTGCATTTGACTGTGCATGTGTTTATTCCCAGCTCTCTATTGGAGCTGTTCTTCTCTTACAGGGTATTCCACTTAAAACTAGCCCCTGTCGTCTTCCTGTGGCTTTGATAAATATTTGGGAGATTCTGTTGTGTATACCTCCTAGATTTATCCATTTTTGCTACAAAGTTTAGTGCCATCTCTTCGGTGGGTGCTGAGTCCACTGACTGAGTTGCACAATAGAGCGCTAAATGTTTAAGCTGAGGTCGCAACAGTCTTCTACCCAGGCCAGTGCCTTTTCTATCTTTTTACTGAGCTGCTTCTGTCCCCAGTCCTTCTTGTTGGAAAGATTTTGTTTTACCTTTCTGGGACTGTCACCATCTCCCATACAGTTTGGAGTTTCTTTTCCTATTATTCAACAGTCTTTCTAAGTAAGTCTGTCTATGAGGGGGTGAAAGGGTGGGAAAGGGTGAGGACTGATTCTCAGTCTGCTCTTGGAGGAGCCAGTCAGGAGCTGGGACTGTCCACAGAAGCCTGCCCAGAGCAGCTTATTAGAAGTACCAGAGCTCGCTGTCAGTGTTAGCCTCTGGCACTTGAAGTTTCAAAATGCAACGGAAGTGCTCTAGCACTACAAAGAGCATCTGGTTGCAGCTTTGATCTCAGTCCACTCACACGGTCAGTCTTACAGGAATGCACGGAAGACTTGTTTCTTGTATATTAGTAGGCTGGAAAACTTTAGACTTTGTCCCTCCTCCTACTTGACAGCGTATTGGTATACGTGACAAAATATGTTCCCTAGTCTTTGAGTTCATGTGATCTTCTTATGATCAATGCAGTTCTGTAGACAAACTCGAGGATTCCTGGAAAGAACAGGAGAGAAAGTTATCCCTGTGTGTTAATTCCATGGAGCAGACTGGACGTCCTGCGGGAGACTGTGCTGGGCCTGTATCTCCTGAGGCCATCTGTGCACCAACCTGGAAGTCATGGAACAAGCCTGCCTTGTTGGCTTTGGGAAGTAGAAGTAGGAGAATTGTGAATGTTAGGCCAGCGTTGGGTCCATTACACTCTGAAGAGCAGACTGAGCTCTCTCAGTGTCTTGCCTGTTCATGGAGACTATTTTCTCCTCTTGTTTCCAGCATCAGGGAAGCAGCAGCAGCATCTGGCACATGCATGGAGGTCTCTTCACGTGCACATCACTGATGGAGTTGTTTCATTGTCAGTGGGACTTCTGGCTCTTCTGTTGTAGTTTCCTTTAAGTCTAATAGTTTGAAGGTGCGGTCTTTCATGGCGGGGCAGCTCGAGGCAGGACCATGAGGTAATGACTGGTCATATTGCACCTGTAGTCAAGAAACAGAGTGCTTGGGTATATTCTTAAGAAAGAATACACTCAGCAAGAATAGCGATTTGAGGGTCCATTTCCCACTGAGCCTTATAGGGAGGGAGAACAGAGAAATTATGGTGAACCGGGAGCTTAGGAGAGATATGCAAAGAAACTTGCACAATAGAAGTTAAGTTGCTGTTCTGCTGGTCGTCCCTGTTTTTAACTTAGAGTCACTGTCACCTTTGTTGCTTCTTACTTTTCTTCTCCTTAGGAGTCTTGACACCCGAGATTGCTGTCCTCACTCTTGAGGCCGCTCTTCTGTCCTTGGGTGGCATTTCTTAGCCTCTACTCAACCTCGGGTCTCTTTGATGTTACTTAGAGTGCAGATCATGGCTTCCACCGTAGCTAGTAAGTACCTTTTGGCTCGGCTCTCTTCTGGTTTTAGTGCTGAATTCCTGTTTATTCTGTGGGCTTTTGACCTGTCGTCTGCATCCCCATCCTCTTTGTCTTCCTGTAGGGGAGCCTACAGTGATGTTCTTAGCTTTACTTTTCCTAGGTACCACTGAGACATTTGCTAGAATGGGAATATTTTCAGTGTCCAATAGAACTTGTTCTTGTGTGCTTCTTAAACTGGCAAGCTACCTGTGTCTTCCCTGTCTGGTTGCTTTTTCTCTAGTCCTGTAATTAGTGTGATGGTTTTGGTTTCTTTGTTTGTTTGTTTGTTTGCTTTTGTTTTCTTGGGTTTTTTGTTGTTGGGTTTTTCTTTGTTTGTTTTGTTTTTTTTTAAGGTGTTGGAGAAGTAAAACTATGCTTCTGCTTGCTTGAATCATTGGAATCCCATCTTCGAGCCTGTCCTGAGTTTTGAGGCATATCAAACATACTACCCTGCTTTTAACTTCTAAATATTCAAGTCATTTGGCAAACACAGAAGTAACCTACTAATCCAAAGATACACATTGAGCCACATAGGAAGGGCAAGAGCAGGTCATCAGACTTTGTATTTAATGTCTAGTCTAGGCTCCTGAATGAAAAACAGAGGGATAGTAGTGCCGAGTGCCTTCACAGTGTTGCAGGAAATCTGGGTTGGTTGCAAGAGAAAGTACCAGTAGTTCTTGGTTCCAGTAAGTAGCACAAGAGTTGAGATGGAGCGCTAGGGACAGGCAGAGCTCTGCTCAGTGTTTTATGTCTGATGAAGAGCACCATGGGGAGGGGCCAGCTGCTAACCAACAGCTGTTTGCAGACCTTGCAGCCTCTTCCCTGTTTTAGTGCTTGAGAAAAATGTGGCTGAGCACTCCTTGTGTTGTCCAGAGCCCAGGCCAAGTGCCAGCCTCAGATCTCCCGCTGATCTGGCCGCTGAACAAGTCAGCAAGAGTTCTGATCACCTGCCCCTGTACTGATTCAGTGCTACGACAGAATGTGAGAGGCAAACCTGCGCATTGCCTTGAATTTCCTTTCCTCTAACCCAGAATGGAGGAGGCCATTGAAGAGGATTGCTCAATGCATGCTGTGCACAGCTTGTCAGACTCACACTGCCTCACCACAGACGCCCTCGAGTGGGGTGTGGCGCCTGTGCTGCTCCCCCTGCTACCTCTTACCCAGTAGTGGAGAGGGTGACCACGGTTTGGCTGTATTTAAGTGGCAAGTGAATTTGGGGCCCTTCGCTCTCTCCCCTGCTTTCTGGGCTAGCGAGCCTGCCTTGTAGTGCATGAGAGGAGCCGCCTCCTGACCTTCTCCTCAGCACCTTACGTGGGAAGTCTGACCTCTGCTGGAAACATGCTGGGCATGACAGCTGTGAGGCACCTCCCACATCTGCTTTCTGGCTGTGCTGACTTGGGATTTTTAACCTTATATATCTCTTTCCTTTATTCAAAACAAAACAATTTTTAGCACACTGAAAAAAAAAAACCCAAATGTTTTGTGCCTTTCTAAGGCAGCGCTGTACCCCAGGCTGCATCTTAGGACTTAATATGGAAATACCGGAGTCTGAGCTCCTCTGCCTTGAATATCTTTAGCCCTGGAGTTTTGGGGACAAGGATGTCTGGCTAGAGAGGTGGCACATTAGGTGTCTATCGTCTCCTTTCTCTGCCATGAGGCTTCACTGGAAAAGAGCAGCATTTTACTCTAGCATCCCGTGGTTGGTTCCAGGCAGCAGTTCGTGTTCAGGTAACTGCTCTGGGTGCCCCACTCACCCACCTCCGAGAACAGTGCCCTGCAGAGCAGAGCTCTAGGGTGGACTCTGGGAAGAGGAGATGGTTCATTTGTTGTCTTTTCATTTTGCTGGATCTTGAACCAGCTTCAACCTCCTGCCTCTCCTCAGACATGGCTGTCCTTTGATTTGAAGGCTTCAACCATAAAGCATTAAGTGGCGGGGGCCATCGCAGGTCCACCTGCCCCCAGGGAGGGGCTGTGGAACCCTGAGGCCTGTCGGTCATACTGTCATAGGTTTCAACCACAAGGTTTTGTACCCTCCCCTTCTCCCTGGTTCTCCCCTGCCTGTGGCTAACAAAGACCGGGGGACAGAAACAGTTCTTTTTAAGATCTGCCTCATTCGAGATTTTTAAATTCTTGATTTGGGTGGGACAAGAGAGAACTTGATATTTTCCCCAGAATAGAGTCCCAATTTGTATATCAGTGTTAAGAAAACAAAACACACACTTAGGTGAGATTCTCATGGACTATTTTTAAAATATTAATATAAAAAGATTTCTATTAGCAGTATTTGATCTCTCTCCTGTAAGAGCAGACAGGTAAATACTGCTGCAGAGTAGCAGAGCTTTAAGACTCTCCAGTCCATGTTGTTTTGCCAGTGTACTGATGTGTAGAAGTCTGTTATACTAATTAGAGGTCTGTTATACTAATGTTATTTATTAATTTTTTTCATTTCCATACAGTTAACTAAAGAGCTTTTTCAAGCATCCGTGTCTGTAAAGAAATATTTTTAAATAAAATTTCTTTTGTTGTAGCACACTTGAGTTCTGGCTCATCTGGGGCTAGGGGGACTTACACAGGGCAGCTCTGGGACTGATGGCGGTGATGCAGGTAAGCAGATGCCCAGGAGGGGGCAGAGCGCCAGCTAGCATTTAGTAGCATGCGGCCCAGCTCTGGATACTCTAGAGGTACAGAGCAGTCTTCAGGGAGCCTGTCCCTTCTGTGAATACACCTGTGGTTTTGGAAACCCAGGTCTGTCATTCATGATGAATGGAAAGCAGTATCATGCTTTTGGGACAATAACTTTATTTTTCTAACACACATATAAAAGGAAATAATTTGCAAATTTACAGACAAAACCATATATACATATATATGTATATACACATACACACACACTCACAGTCACAGATACACACAAACCTCAAAAGCTTCTGCCAGGCCAGGTTTTCATCTCCTAAGTCCCATTCTCCCACTTGGGCTCTCTTAGGACCTGGGGCCTAAAGCTCACATGTAGAAATTTGGTGCTAACATACCTAGAAGCCTAATCCCCATGAACAGTAGACCTCCTCTCTGTCCTGTCTCTTATCTTTCCGTTTCCCATTACCCACTAATGCAGTGCAGGAAGCTTGGGCTCAGTAGCCTTCAAAGAAAACAAAACAACACCACCACCACAAATCAGAAAGAGTACCCAGCTTCCTTACTCAGGGATGTGTCTGAAGGACTTACACCAGTTTCTGACTTCCGCCCAAAGGAAAAATGTTCCAAATGAGACCCTGAATTAGTAGCAGGCAGGAAGGTACAAAAGCAGCCACCCCCGGACTGTGAGGTTCTCAGAAGGACCAACGTGAACAGAATAATGTGACCATGTGCCCAGGTCCTGTATCATGTGATACAGCTAACATGAAGACAGCCTGTGAGGGGAAAAGCTCAGAGAGGCAAGCCCACACAGCTCATGGCAGGAGAAGGATTTCCAACCACTGGCTGTGTAAGGGAGGGGGGGAAAAAGCCCTGGGAGACAGGCCCCTTGGGAAAAGCATCACTCAGTGGACACAGAGGAGGACTTGGTCTCTAACCAGGCCTCCATGGCCAAGTGAGATCCTCCAAGATGACTCTTGTCCCAGCTCTTAGCTCTCTGGACCCAGTCTGCAGGGAAACTGAGTCAGGATCATCCCCGCTGTCCTTCCAGAAGCTTTAGCTTGGGGTAAAGACTGAGCATGGAGCCGGACACATCGGTGAGTCAGCTAATGCCTCAGATCGATGTATTTCCCTCCCTGAAAATGGGTCGAGAGAAGCAACCATGGAGAGCCAATAAGGTTTCCAGCGTGAGCACCAAACAGACAAGCAAAAGCTGATGGACTGCAACATCCCCTAAGGCAAGCAGCAGAAATGAGGAGAAGGAAAAGACAGAAGTCCCCCAGCTAAGTCTCTACTTTTAGCAGAAGATGGGTGGGGCACTGTCTTTCTCTAGGGTCCCTCTACCGTTTGCCTTATCCTGCCATCTGTGGTAATGTTAAGGTAGGAGAAGCCTACTCCCCATCTCCAACCAAGTATGAAGGACAGAAAGAGTTAGTGTTCGGGAACAAGTACCATTAGCCCACTACCCCCAATTCCTGAAAAGGGGGATCAGGCCCTGGCCTCAGGAACTGCCTCCTACCTGGTCTCCTGGAGCCCTCTTGTCACCGTTGCTGCCCTGAAGGAGAGCCATCTCTTCTGGGAGCTTATCTGACTTAACTTCAACTACAAATTCACTCTTACGAGTCGGGGGCAGCGTGCTGGGAGGAGGGAGGTGAGAGGTTGGCAACATGGGGGAAAGGGGAAGGGGAGGGCCTTTTGGGGTGGATACTCCGGTGCTTTGGGGCCAGCTCAGGGAGGGAGAATTGGAGGAGATGGTATGATTGGTGGCAGCTGGGTAGCGGACAGTAAAAAACGGGTCCAGTTTCTGCTCTCAAGGGGTAAGTGGGCGCTGGGTAGGCAGGGGGAGAGCCTTATGAGGCAGCAAGCTGGACAGCCGAAAATGGGGGAGGGAACGAGGGCCATGAGTCTGGCTTACATCTCTTGCTTTCCTGAGCGTCCACATGGCAGTTTGCCCTTCTTGTAGAAGAAGTAGAGAGCAGCACCCAGGACAGCAAGCACCAGGGTACACACGATCACAGCCACGATGACCACACCTTTGCTCTCTGGCTGTGGCAGCTTTTTCTCTGTCAAACAAAGACACTTCTAGTCATTCCCTGTGCCAGGCTGTCACACTGCTGTTGCTACTCCACCCTATCCAGCTGAAGGGGACAGATGGGCTGTTACCTTTCTCAGTGGGGGAGAATGGGTACCATGGAGCAGGCCTGTTGTTTTGCCAAACCCGGCTTACCTGCGGAGGTGCTGTTGGCTCTGGTGTGAGGACTGACTGTGGGGGTGCTGAGGCCAGTGGTTTGGCTGGAGTCAGGTGTGAGGGTGGTTAAAGTGACTAGGAGGCAGAAGGACGAGGGGTTAGTAGCGCACGTTAACGTTAATGCCCGAGCCTGGGCATGCCCCTGCCGTTGTCTGCAGGGTCCCGACTCTCACCCAGCTTCAAAACGATGATGGTGGTATTCGAGCCCAGGGAGTTGGAGGCTGTACATTCTGCGCCTGTCTCCAGAAGCTGCGGGGTCACAAGGACATTCAAGGTGCTCACTACTGTCTGTGGATCTGGGTTCCATTCTGTTGCCTAGAAGTAAATGGGCCACTCAGAGGGCGGAAGCATCTCTGGCCGGCCGGGCCTCAAGGCCTAGGCAGGGATTAAGAGAATGAGGAGATGAAGTAAGCCTGCTCACCGAGCCGTTGACATTCCAGGAGATGGTGGGCTGAGGATGTCCTGAAGCCTCACAAGACAGATTCAGCACTGCATTCTCTTGCACCCACACTTTCCTCTCCTTTAATGCCATCCATGGGGACCCTTGGGGGCAGGGAAGGGTTAGGAACCCCCCCCAAATAGCCTGCTCCCGCTCCCCACCACAGCTCCCACAATACAAGCTGGCTTTTTTGGGCCTCCAGCAGCTCAAAACCACGCAACTCAGGGTGACCTGGTCACTGTACAAAGGACCTCACCAAAAATGCCCACGTTGACCAGCTGTGTACGATTCAAGCCAGGAACTCTGGGGACAGATGCCATGCAGAGATAGCTTCCGCCTGCTTCCCTGTTCACGGGGTTTAGCTGGAGGACGGGCCCCTTTCCCAGCAGCTGGCCTGTCTAGGGATGAGAGGTGGGTCAGGGGTCTGAAAAGGAGCAAGCACTCATCACCCACAGTCCCAAAGGCATCTGGGTACCTTGGCTCTCAGCCACTCAAACTCAAGGTCCTGGTTGCTCTCTGCCTCACAGGTCAGTGTAAGGCTGTCCCCTTCCTGGACTTCAGGGGCAGTTGGAGTCACTCGAACGTCAGACACATCTGAAGGCATAGCAAGAAATGTCAGCCTGGACAGGAAGAGCCAGTTCCCCCTTTCCCCAGGCCGAGCCTCCATCTGAGGGCCTCACAGTTGACCAGCAGCTCCAGGGGGTCACTTGACAGTGTGATCATAGTCTCCAGGTCCAGGCTCTGACATTGGTAGAGCCCACTGTGGTGCTTCTGGGCAGGCTCCAAGGATAAGAGCCCATTTTCATCTGTGCGTTCCTCATCCATCTCCCCAGTGTTGGGGTTCTGGGGGAACACAGAGGAGTGAGGGTGAGCTGATGCCCTCCTCTTTGCCTGTACCCATATGCCCCCTCCATGCACCCAGCATGGAGCGCTCTGTACCTTCTTGTTGATAGTGAAGTCGGGTTGAGGGTTGCCATCAGTCAGACACCTGATTTTCACATAGTCCCCTTCCTTCAGCAGTCCCACAGGCTCAACTTCCACCCACACTTTTTCTGCAGGGTCTGTTGGGGCAAAGGAAAGAGGAAGGCTCTCAGTCCAAGAGGTGGAAGTGGCCCCCTGGATTTGACTCAGAGGGACTAGCAGGAGTTCCCACCAGGCCCATTCCACTCCACCACCCACCCACCCCAAAAAACATTCCAGAGGAGTGATCCGGTCAGCACTCACAGAAAACAGGGACGGTGACCTCCTTCGATTCCTTCATGTGGTTCCCACTGGGTAGCCGGTAGCTGAGTTCACAGTAAAACCGGGCATCTTTGTCCTCCTTAACTAGCCGTGCATTCAGAACACTCTTCAAGGTGTACAAGCCACTGGACTCTACAATCTGCGATGACTGGATATGAACGCCTGGGCAGGAGGAGGAAGCAAGGCCTGGCCTCAGCATCCCTCAGGCTTCCTCCCCTGGGGATTAGCAGGGAGGTTTCTACAGGACAGGCCCAGAGTCAAACACAAACTGGTGACCCTTCAGCCCAGCACTTTTTTTTTCTTTTTTTTTTTTTCTTTTTTTGGTTTTTCGAGACAGGGTTTCTCCGTGTAGCCTGGGCTGTCCTGGAACTCACTCTGTAGACCAGGCTGGCCTCGAACTCAGAAACCCGTCTGCCTCTGTCTCCCAAGTGCTGGGATTAAAGGCGTGCGCCACCACTGCCCGGCTCAGCCCGGCGCTTTTAATTGCTTGGTATTTACCCTAGGAAGGCGTTTACACCTTAGCATATATACAAGGATGCTGCCAGCAACACCCCAGAGACAAAGAAAAGTGGGATTAAGCGAAAGGAAAGGCTGAATGGCAGAGCAAGTTTTTAAACACGTGAAAGGCATTCGGTTCAACCCCCAGAATCCGAAGCACAAGCCCCAAGGTGATGAAACATTGAGACATTAAATGCTAACGGAAGGGCGGAAACTCAGCCACGTCCTACACAATACGAAGATAGGAAGCAAGGTGAGTCTATCTGAACAGACTGACCTGGAAAGGTTACACAAAGGGATGTGCGCCCAGCATTACCACAGAGGTCAGGGCTTCTCTGCTCAGCACTATTGATGTCTTGGGACATAATTAATCCTTTGTGGCGGGGCTCATCCTGTGCGCTGTAGGCTGCTGGGCTGTACCTCTATGAATCAGATGTCAATAGCAGCCTCTCTGTTGGTGACAACTACTAATGC